CTCCTCTTGTACTTTTATCATATGCTTTCTCTAAATCAACAAAAATCATATGTAGATCCTCCTTACTCTCTCTATATTTCTCCATCAAACCTCTCAAAAAATGTATGGCTTCCATAATAGACCTACCCAGCATGAATCCAAATTGATTTTGAAAATTTTTTCAACATAAAAACATCTGCAATATGCATCCTATATCAAATGTCTAAAAAGAAATAACATGAATAAAAAAATCTTACAATCCAGGAAATCGGGAGGCGGCGGAAAAGCTTTTGGCGGCCGAAACTCACGGTCGGAAATAGGGCTTTCGCCGGCGACGAAGGCGGTGATCGTCGGCCACGTCTGATGAACGTCTACAAAGCTCGATGACGGCGATCTACGGTGGGCGACATTGGTGCAACGAGGGAGACACCGGAGATGCGAGAGAAATGATTGAATGAAATGAGCAGCCAAACGGGCACGGGTTCGAAAATAGGGCTTTCGCCGGTTGTTTTTCCGGCGTCCTAGACTCCGGAATGTCTTCCGGCGCATTTTGCGCCGGTTACAAGTCGTTGAATTTAAAATAGCCATCATAATATCTGCCGGTAAATGCACCGGACATATTCCGCCGTAACGTCCGCCGGTAAGAATGAAATGTTGCTATATTCCGGCGCAATGACCGGGACATTGGACGTCGCAAATTTTCTGTCGCACGATGCGCCAGAAAAAACGCCGTTAGTATTCCTTCGCATTATGCGCCTGTACAAACGTCGTATTTACCGACGCAAAAAATTCCGCATAAAGTCTGACGGTAATCGCGTGTTTTTTCGTAGTGGCCAAAAAAGTTGTGATCATCCTGTACGAACACCCCGAACTGCTGCCTCCAGCCCCTCTCTCAAGATACCTCTGATACCCCACTAACTAGGCTAGCTCCATAGCCTTTCCCAAATCAGGAGACTTCATCACTCTAACTTCTGCCCGAATTTCTAGCTTGAGCACTTTCATAAAGTTCCCCTCCAGTATATTTTCTAGAAGCCAGTCTAGTCAGCTGGCTAGGTGCTCAAGCTACTCACGGTAATGCACTATAGTTTCATCTTGCATTAAAGCAAATAACTGCTCATAGAAATTTTTAGGGGTGTCAATTCAGGTCAGCGAGTCGGGTTCAGTTCCGAATTGACCTGGCTTTAAACGAATCAACCCAAACCCGACCCGCTTTTGTAAACGGGTCGGTTTTTCAACCCGAACCAGACCAGCACGGGTTGCCGGGTTGACATGACCCGACCCTAATTTTTGAAATACTCCCGGCGGCGCATCGGCAGCAGCAGCAGGCGGTGGTGACAACACGCGATGCGGCGAGCCAACTACGCTTCGGGTTCGGGACGAATCGCGCCACCGCGCACGCGCGATGCGTGCAACTCAACGATCGACGCATCAGGAGTCGAGACGCACACGACTTGACCCTTCAGCCTTCGGGACGTGACTCAACGCTTCAGAGTTCGGGCGGCACTGTGCAGCACACGGACTCGGGTTCGACCGGGCAGGGTGGGCAGCAAACGCAGGCAGAGGGTTTTTGGGTCATTTTCGGATTGCTGGGTCAACCCGAATCCGGCCCATTTTTTGAAACGGGTCAGTTTATTTAACCCGAATCCGACCCGTTTCACAAACGAGTCGACCCGAACCCGGATTGTTTTGGGTCGGGTTTCAGGTCATGTCAAAAATTGACACCCCTAAAAATTTTCTGATCTGCTAGTTCGGAAACGTTCCAACAAACAATTCTTAAACTCCCTCCAGGTTCATTTGGGTCGCCTCGTATCCATCCAGTAGTATCATGCCAACCCTTCCCACTCCAAGCATATCCCGGTTGTCGTCAGTCTCTCCTCCTCGATTAATTTATTGACAGTAAAATATCTTTCCACCCTATATATTCACCCATGTGCATCCTCTCCCTCAAAAATAGGTATATTCAACTTCCTCATCCTCGGATCTCCTCTGTTACCCCTGTTTTCTCCATAATTTCTCATTCCCCAAGGAGTTGGTTTCCCCCAGGTAGGGGTGTCAATATTTGACACGACACGAAAACCCGACTCGAACCCGACTCGGGTTCGGATTTTCGACCCGTTTGCCTAACCGGGTCGGGTTAAGGTCAACCCGTTTGAACCCGGGTCAGTTCCGGGTTCGACCCGAACCCGACCCGTGACCCGAAATTGACACCCCTACCCCCAGGTATCCCAATCATCCCCTATGCTCGTAATGCTCGTACCCAAACCCTTCATCAAAATTTCACCTTCTCCATTCAAATTCAGCACCCATTAGATCATAATCAAGCCTTCTCTTTTCAAATTCAGCGCTCCTTTGATCATAATAAGCCCCTCTCCTTTCAAATTCAGCACTCTTGCGATCATAACTAGCACCTCCCCTTTCAAATTTCGCCCCTCTCCTCTCAAATTCAACACCCATTCTTTTAGGTTTGACATTCTCATGCCTCTCATCATACCCTCTACTCAGGTCCTCCTTAGCAATAAGCTCTAGGGAAGGAATTCTCTCTTCTCCCTCAAGAATCTTCACCTCATGATCTTCCCTTTACCTTATCGGATTATAGTTTTTCCTACTTCCTTGGTTGTCGGTGGCTTCTCTCGCTCTGACGACACCATTTTGGGTTGGCCCTCGAGCAACTTCTTCATTATCTCCTCCAAGAAGAAAAGTTTTCCATCAATATTCTCGTGGATGGCTGAAATTTGACTTTTAAAATATGAAAGTTGAGTTTGGATATTGGAAATTTCATATTTCAATTGTCCAATCTCACCTTCCAATGCTTCTACCTTTCTTCCTACAATAGGTACCCGGGCTTAGGCTCCACTAGCAAAAAAACAACTTCGATAAGAATTTGGCCTCCAAACAACAACAAAACCGCAATATAAGAGAGGAAATGCAGCCGAAATCAGCGATGAAGACTTCTATTTCAGCCCAGGAAACTGCTCTGACACCAATTTGATAGGAAGTGCTTGCATAAATTTAGGGAAAATCCTAAGCTGAAACTTGATTTCAGCAATTTCAGAAAAAAGAACAACAAGAAAATCGTGAATAGAACACACAAAAATATTTTTTTTAATTGAAAGTTTTATGAAAGAAAAGACAAGATACAAGTGGATCTTCAATTGGAGAGGAAGATCCGACTCTCCCAAAGCTCTAGCCGCCGGCTAGAGCTCAAACACCTTAAGAACAATCTAATTTCAGCAAACAACACATAACCCTAACTCTAGGAAAACCCCCCTACTTAAGACATAAAATAAATGGTAAATACCAAAACAGCTCTCCCCTAATTCCCTTCCAAATCTGTCATATTTCCTTAATTATTTCCCTACCAAATCAGCCCCCAAATTTGCCCTCTTCAATTAAGAAATATTTCCTAATTAATCCCCTCCAAATCAACCTCCAACTCTACCCTCTTCAATTAGGAAATATTTCCTAAATAATCCCCTCAAAATCAGCCACAAAATCTACCATATTAAATATTTCTTAATTAATCCTCCTCCAAATCAGTCTCCAAATTTGCTTTCATCAATTATGAAATATTTCTTAATTAATCCCCTCCAATTTAGCCCCCAAGAACTGGTCCGGGAAAGGATCGGCATGACCGGTCCAGGAGGAACCCGATCTAATAGCCCCCCTCAAACTTAAGGAAAAATTCAATAAGATGGAGGTCAAGCCCCCACTTTCTTCCCAAAAAGACCTGCTAAAAGCAATATTGTACTCAATAATCCATCACCCCCGCTATGGTTTTTTAATTAGAGGGAGCGCTTGACACTTTTTTTTTAACTTTGCCACGGCATTCGGGTGGTTAGAGTAATGAAATCATGAGGGGGCAACATTCCCCATAAAAACTATTACTTTTTAACAAATAGAAAGATTCAACTTTACACACACAGATATATACACACACATTATTATTATTTGCCATAGATAAATAAACATATTTATACATATTATTATTATTATTATTACTACACGTGGTCATATATATAGGGAAATTTAACTTTATATACCAATAATTCATTTATTGAGAAAATATGCCCAAAAGTTAGTTTCAGGCAGAATTACACCTCTTGTGTACGTGGAGTGCTTATTGAAATTCGTCACGAGCAAATTTGATTCAACTAGTTCAAATTTAAACCTTAAACCAAGCTTTAATTCAAACGCATAATGTTATCAGAATCCATGTTTGTTAAGCCATTTTATGGCTTTGCACAACCAACTTTTGTTGTTTCTTCAAGGAAATTCTCTCAATTAGCTTGTTCTTCTTTGAGGCGATCGATCAATAGTTAGGTTTGAACGACCAACTTTCTATACAAGGACTCTGGATTCTTTGAATTCAAAATGGTATTGAACCCACGCGTTCTCAAGTGTTTTGAAAATTCAAATCATATCCAAACAACCAAAGGCATATGGCCAAGTGCTTTGACTCAATTGCATTCAAACTCAAGCTTAGCTTAGAATGAAAAGGAGCCATCAAAATGGAGGCATGTTTCCAAAACATTTCACTCTATATATATAATTCTTATATTTTTATATTATATCAACTTTATTTTTTTTATTTTTTATTTTTTCACGTATGTGTGTGTGAGAACTTCCTACAAATTTCATACCCTCATGTGTGACAAATTTTTGTCCTCTCCCCAACCTATAGTAAAATGGAAGGCTCTCGTACATGCGTCAACACGTAAATACACAATTATATGCCTTTTGAGACTACCGATTGGGTCGATCAGCTTGTATTGTAGCTAGTTCCTATGCTGGATTTGGTAGCACACTTATTGAGGTAATTACTTAATTTTCAATTAAAATCAATTAGGCTAACCATCTAGCCAAACAGTGCAAATTAAACGTTTTAGCTTGCCATTAACCATTGCTGCAACATTCTAACTGTTGAATGCTTCAGGATAAGAATTTAACTGATAAAAGAAGACCGAAGGCACAATCAAATTCAAAAATTGCAGTTGAAAAGAGGTCTGATTACATAAACCAACCTGAGCAAGGTCGCCAAATGCATAATCCCGGATTAGAATGTGGCCATTGGGCTGAAAAAGATCATTAAATCACATTTAAAAAAAAATGAAAAATATAATATTTCGTGATGATTTGTTAATGATATAAGAGGCAATTTTTACCTTTAGAACCTTCCTGATATTTTGCAACACCACCGGCATCTTCTCAGGAGCTACTGCAGATAGCACAAAAATCTACTTAAGGTGTCAACTTTGCATATATATTGAAAACCGATAAAAAACAGAAAGTACAAAAGAAAATAATCTAAATTCCAGACCAAAGGCATAAAAATATGCACAAGATATTCATGTAACAATGATCGTTTATGTAAAGCCAACCTATAAGCAGTGTAAACATACATTAAATACAAAAATTGATTTACTCACCATGGTCACAATGTCCACTGACGAAGATGGTATCAGATCATTTAGGTCTTCTAATGTAAGATCACAAACAAATGCATTAATTTGATCATCTCTAAAGCTATCATGTGCCTGCCACCATATTTGTCTTTAAAAATAAGAAGCAAATATAAAAAGTATCTATGGCTCGAAACAAAACAAAAAAAAACATCTAGAGGAAATAAATAAGACACTTTTAATTTTGGGAAATAAACATCTAGATGAAAAGTTCCATACTAGAAAAGAAGACAATCACAAAGAGAATTCAAACCTTGACTAAGGCAATAGCTCGTGGAGAAAAATCACAAGCATGAATGTAAATATCTGGGTAGGTAGAAACTAGAGGAAAGATTGTGTTCCCGGCACCACAGCCAGCCTGCAGTATCAGTGTTCATTTAAACAAGAAAAACAACAAGGACGGAACAGGATTCAAAATGAGAAATATAAAGATTTAAATAAGAGCAATAAATGACAGAACAACATTGAAAATGATGAAATAAAACTCACAAATCAATGATAAGTAGCAAAATAATATAAAAGGAGCCCAAAAGTAAAGATACAAGGATTGGTATGTGTTATCTTATATTATGATGTCACATCTTATAATGTTGTTATGTTTATGTTGTCATATTATGCCCTAAAGTTCTAACTTTATTTTTCATACCATATTCTAAAGTAGACCATATAAGTCATACTATCAATTATATCACTTATTAAGTATCTGCATTATCTTGAAGTAGAAAGATTATGTGTTATTCTAAATGTCATAAGCGTACGAGTTAATTGTAACATTAGTGTTCTACTATATATAGGATTCTAAGGCATACTTTGAAATGGTTTTTGAAATGAAATTTATTTTCTCCCGCTATGTGTTGGCCGAAAACCTCAACAATCCCTCTTTTTGAGAGTTAAGCGCATGGGAACTTCTTTTATCAAGATAAGCTATAATTTATCTTCTTTTTGATGGGGACATCGACAAGAGATTCTGACGCATTTATCAAAGGAGACATCGGAAAACGATGGCCATGATGGAGAGTTTATACTTTTGATGCACTTTATGTACTAGTTTTTTTATATTTCAGTTTTTCCGTTTTTACCCCCATGGGTAGTTTGTTTGCTTTTGTAGCCCAAGGGGCATTCTAGTCTATTTCCTTTTGTCATGTCAAGGCCTATATATATGGCTCCTTATTTATTTGGAATTTGGATGATGATTGATTAATACAAATTCTAAATTTTCTTTGTCTTCCTCAAAGTTGAGTGTTTGAGAAGAAGAAAGGCCCAAGGTGTGGGCAATCGCAATACCTGTTAACCTTTGGAAGGGTCCTAGGTTCGCGGCTCTAATTCTTGTTCTTCTTATCTCTTCCGATCTCCACATCTCTTCCCCACACCACCGACCTATTCCACCCCGCCGCCCGTCTTAATCTCCCCTACCCGACCACCACCATAAACCCGCCGGCCCCTTAGGCGCTCCTCCACCACCCGTTCCCCACCTTATCGCCACCACCAGAAAAACTGCTGTCCCAGCAGTTTGACAGCACCCTCGCAGCAGATTTTTTTGCACCAAACAGTGGAAATAAGAGAAACGAAGCAAGATCTTCACTAGTAGATGCAAGAAAACAAAGAAAGATACAACGTCCTTCGATTCAAGAGGAAGAACAACTCTCCACAAGTCTCTAGCAAACCCTAGAGCCCAAGCACACAATGAGATCTCAAACTTTTCATTCAAATTCAAGATGATCCCCTAATTCCCCCCTTTCCCCCTCTTTAACTCTCATCCCCATACAAAATCCCTAAACAGTCCTTCTATTCAAATCCCCCCCCCTTTCCATTCAAATTTTCCCTCCAACCCTTGAATTAACTCCATGTGGGGCCCGCCTAGAGTAAGGACCGGAGGAGCCCGCCTAACACTATCCTCCCACATCCATCCCCTAGCCTCCCATTAATTGCTTTGAATGCTTTCCTAATTTAGGAGGATAAAATTTGGAGGGATTTTTAAATTCAAATTCAAATAGATTTGAATTAATTCCTTTCCCAATTTTCCTCCCCTAATTAGGTAACTCTTTTAATCCCTCAAATCTAAAATCAATTTCAGATTTGTCCCTTGATTTAATTAATTGCATGGGCCCACAATTCCAAGTAATTAAATCCCTCTCCATAAGGTCAGCCACCCCTCTCTCTCCAATCACATTAATTGGACTCCAATTAAGGATCCAATTAATTAAATCTCTTGGTCTAATTCCCTCCCAATCTCCTTTAATTTCAAATTTGAAATCCCCCATAACGTTACATTAATTAAAATATGAAATTATTCTCAGATTTTATAATCAATTCCCTTCCTAGCCACCTCTCTCACACCCTAACCCTAGCCCACCGCCGGCCCTCCCCTCTTTCCCTTGCTTTCCCTTCTTGCTTCACAAGCCCGCCACCCTAAGGAGACTAAGAGAGGAGCCTCCCACACCCATGGATGGCCGACCCTGAGGTCGACCACGGCTTTGCTTACAACGCACAAGGCGAAATCGACATCCTACTCTCTCCCTTCTATGAGCCGGATTGGGAATACGACGACTCCGTGGAAAGCTACGTCAACCGTATCCTTCATTGCCTCGCCGAGACAATTGAACTTCAACAACCAAGGATACCTTGGCTTCTCATCGGAAGATCCACTCCTCCACCGCCGACGACCTTCTCTTAGATCAAAGTCGTTGGTGTCGCCACCATCTTAGCGGCATCGTTTAGCGTGCTGAAAGCTTCTCTCCGCTAAAACCTTAGATTGAGTGTGAGTGAGAACGGTAACTCTTGGTGAACTTTCTAGATATTAAACTTTGGATTTTAATTACTGCATATCCAGAGTTATTGTGATAATTTTTTAATTGTCTTATCGTGTTCGTATCTCTTAGTTTTGCAACTGGATGCCAAGGCAAATCTACTAATTAAGAATTTTTATAATCATGCCTTACGACTTATTAAACTTAAAGTAGCATGCTTCGTAATGTTTTTATTAATTTCTTGCAATTCTTGGTAGGTTTCACATCACTTTTTGTCTCCATCAATCCATGATTTTAATAGATGGTCTAAAATAAAACATTTTCCTTCCGCTATGCTACACTCTCCATCACTAACAAATTTTGTAAGTAATGGAACAAATTTTAGGAATAATGCATGCAAGAATCATCATAATAACAAACAAAATCAATAGGTTAGCCATTACTTGTCAAGACATAAGTAGGTGGATATGCCAAGAGTTTAAGGCATGAACTAAGTTGCAAGTTAAGGATGCATGTGAGTGTATGCTAAATGTTTAAAGAATAAGCAAGGAGAGCATTGCCAAACTGAATATTTGGAGAAAGAGTGTTTATCTCATCATTTTTAACATCATATAAGCAAAACCAAACAGAAAAAGTATGGTTTGGCACACTCCAACTGAGGCTTTCAAAAAATATTGATGTTAGATCTTCCATACAAAACTAAAGCTGAAAAATTGTGTAGCATAGTACAAAACAGAAAATATAGTTTAAAAAAATAATGTGGCTAAATCTCAACTTTCATAGGCCAAACAATAACTAATTTTCAAGGACTGACAAAACAATATGGAGATTATGAAGGCAGACACAGCTAGGAAGGACGTACAATGGAATTCACGAACCATGTCTAGTTTAACCCAATTTATTCTAGAAGAAACAACAGAAGTCAAACTTCCTTCAAGGCTTTCAAAATTTTGGTATGGTGTTATTGCTTATCATAGTATCTTGAAGATGGTACTATTGATATGTAGTCAGCACTATAACATGGCCTTTTTTATGACTCTTTTAAACTAAAGACTTCAGAGATCAAGGTTGTAAGGAAACTAGCACACTCGATGAAAAGCTCAATTTAATTGAGAATATGACTTTATTGGACAAAAGGGAGAAAAATCATTCATCTAGCCGACCTCACGTAGGATAGAGGCTTGATGTTGTTGATGATGGACAGCTCGATAGTCATTCATATAAGGCTCGTTTATGTTTGTTCATTTAAATAATTGAAAAAACTTGAACAAATCTTTTAAAGCTCAACAAATAAATAAACAAGCTTCAATATCCACTCATTTATTTATGTTTATGAACATGATTGTTTGTCACTTAAGAAGTGGCCCACTAAGAGATATATAAAGTGCTCATGCAATGATAACTTAGTTGCTTGTTAGTAGGGTTGTAAGTGAACCAATATACACGATGAATAGCTTGAACTCGGCTCTATTAATACTCGTTCAAGTTAATAGTTGACAATTTTGAACATTTTTTAAAGCCCAGAGATTAAATGAACCAAGATTTAACACAATGTCACAACCCAACTAGTTTACATGAGTGCACAAACAACTTATTTATTGATCAACAAAAAACTTGTTGAAGGCTTGAAATTAGGCTCAATGATTGGAGGTATAATGTTCAATTAAGTTTTTTAAATACAATTTGCTTAATTAATATTTTAATATTAATATAGTATAAGTTTATTTATTATGTTAGCTTATAATCTCTCTTATTTTCATTTTTCATATAGCATTCTACACTTCTATCACATTTAATATCCACATTCCGGCCAAGTGTCTTTGAAAATGCATTGTTTGGATTACAATGAGAATCTAAGTCCTTAAAAGGTGAGCATATCCCCTTCTCCACCTACCAGCAATCGCATGCTATGAGCATGGTCTACAAGTACGTTGTCTTAGAACTTGAGGCATCTTCGCCAACCTATCTACATAGCCATTAGAGTGCTCCGACATGATAATCAAAGGTGAGTGTATCCCGCGTTCTCTATTTTCCTACAATCAATGTGTTATTTTAGCCCTATGCGCATCTTCTCAAAATGTTATCAGCCAATCACAATTTGCAACCATCTCATCTTCTTTTTAGTCCTACTATTTAAACTTATCTCTCATTCTCTAGACTTAAATATGTCTTTTCAATCTTTAATTCTTTTGTAGTCATAATATTATCTAGCTCAATTGTTGTCCATTTAATTAGTGTCAAATAGTTTGAAACTAATTCCAAATTTATTGAATTGTTTGTTCATTAAAACTTGTAAAATTATTTATTAATACGACAACCACATGAAAATTTATTTATGAGCTTGTTTAATAATTCATTTTTGTAGTTGTTCGATTAATTTAGAAGAGCCAAGCTCGATCATATATAATTCTAAGCAAGCCAAGTATAAACATGTGTGAAAGCTCAGTTGATCTATTGTCGAACTTGAAAAAACTTATAATATGGCAAAGCCATGTTTGATCTATGGTTTGCTCAACTCCACTAGATTAAACCTTATGCAATTAATTTATATTACTACAATTAAAGGTAGGATAAATATATTAAATAGCTAGATGGATTAATAAGAAATATA